GAGTGCATATGTTGATATCATTACTTTACAATGCTTCTCCTACATCCTTTTCACTCCTTTCCATGTATTTATCTGAATAAATTGCAATTACCCATTTGGGACAGATAGTGAACTGTCCCTTGTTTTCCTGACATCCCTAGTCCTTTGAACTAAAACTATATGTGACATGCATGGAGGCTTACTGAGTCCTTGCCAGTGAATGAATTGACCAAAGTGTTCTGAAATGTTGGAGGAGATATTAGGTTGAACTGAATAAAACTGTCAATATGCTACCACTTTTCTCCTACAGAAGTGGCCATATTTTTTGTCTTAAAAATCAAAAAGAGGCCCTGGAAAGAGCTCTGAGCTAATAGAACATCCCTGGGACACTGTGAAAATGTTGTTCTGAGCCTGGAAGATCACCTGTTGCAGTATGGCTCACTTTTCCCACAAAGGATGAACAAATATAATGGGTAAAGCTGTACCCTCATTTCAATTCATATTTGAAATATGCGAAATAGCGCCTGTGGCCTGCTGTTACCGCACTATGTATATAAAACCTGTCATAGCAGTTTTTCCATATGAATTCCCAGGTCCACCTATGTATCATCTTAAGGGAATCTGCCCTGCACAAAAGCATTCTCATCATCTTGAACCCATAATCCAGTGCAGAGGTCCCAAATTCCTAGTAGCTTTGAGCTCAAAAGCCCCATGGTTGAGAGCTCTTGAGAATCTCTTTGCTTTTCTGAATGTTGCCTCTCACATTCTTCTTACTTCCTAGTTTTGCAAGAGGACAAGTGGCAGGTAAGCTGCCATAAACACCAGAGAGCCAGCTTGACTTGTGACACAATAATTCCTGGCCTAAACTGCTATTGAAAATGCTGAATATGTTTCTTTTCTAAAGGGCTTTCCAAAACATAGCATGGAAGCATAAAATCCCAGATACCCTCAGCCTGTCTTTGCAACCAGTTCCTTCTCAGTGGTCTTCTCAGCCACTGGTATCACTGAGTTGGTTCCAGAGGCTCAGCTGATCTGCTCTGTTAACCTTGGCCCTGATAAGAGGTCTGTGCCCAGAACACCCTGAAAAGTTTCTCCTGAACCTGAAAGGTAAAGCCTATGCCACATGGCCCAAGTCTCCCACAGAGAAGTGTCTCATTCCTGGTATCTGGGAACCAGAGGGTGCAGAAGAGGAGGCCCGGCTCCTTTGTGGCAGAATGAAATGTGAAGTTGTTGTGGAGGACAATACGGTTGGCTCTGAGGCTCATCACACCTCCCACCAGGTGTTGGGCGGCCAAGAGACTCTGTCTGTAGGAGCAAGGAATGTGCTCATAGCTGTGAGAGAACAAACGGTGAAGTGTGGAGCCTTATGCACACACATTGTCCTCATGGGTGCCAGAAATCCCACCCATGGAAGGAATCTTTCTCTAGCATGACCCTCTTCCTGCCATCTCCTTTATAGATGAGTGGTCTCAGAAGAAAAATGGCTGAAATCACCAACAACTGTGTGTTCTTGTCAGCTCACTGACCTCATGGCTAATGAGGAACACAGGAGAAAGCAGCCAATCCTAAGAAGAGAGGTAAAGGGCAAAGGGGAAATGATAGGACCAGAGTCTCTTACTGGTGCTACACAATTTCTATGAAACCAGAGTCTGCAAGTGGAACCTTCTAGGTACAGTTGCTGAGGCTGGTGGCCTCCCACGTAAAGAGTTTGGGATGGGATGAGCCAGGCTTAGCTGACATGCACTGTGTGGTCTGAATGTGGTCTTCTAAATTTCAAGTGTTGGAAACTTAGCCTCCAAAGTCATATGTTAATGATATTTAGAGATGGGACCTTTGGAAGATGATCGGGTCAAGAAGGCTTTGCCATCACTAATGTATTTACCCATTCATGAAGCAGTAAGTTATTGCAGGAGCCGCTTTTTCAAGGAAGTGAACTCTGTGGCTCATTTGCTCTGGCTTGTCACATGATGCCCTCTGCCATGCTATGATGCAGAAACAATGCCCTCCCTAGATGTTGACTAGATGCTGGTACTATGCTCTTACACTTCCTAACCCCCATAACCATGCAACAAATAAACTTCTATTCGTTATAAATTACATGGTCTCAGGTATTTTGATATAACAACAAAAAACAGACAAAGATATACACAGAAATTCTCCCCACCCCTACTAAAGTGTCACTATCGCAACCCAGTAGAAATGTCTAAACACCCTCAGTAGAATCCAAGCCTGTTGACCAAGTTTTATAAATGCCTAACTTGCCTAGATCACCAAGAGCTACTAGTTGAGAACATTCAGCTATGTACATGTTCTTTTAAAGGCCCCAGAATCCTGGAAGCAAAAGCCAACTGTGCTCTAATTTTCAGATGAAATGACATGGCTGAGTTTCATTATCATGCTTGAAACATTACCATACCTCCTTAATACCATGATAAAGTCAATGTTTGTTTTAATAAATGCTAAGAGGTAAGAGGATAATTCAGAAAGTAAATGTGGCTGATTTTGGTAGGATTAGAATGCTAAAGTCAGAGTTTAAAGACAATGTCATCTGTGGTACTTATAACTAATTGTTTAACACAGTCTCCTGGTCTCTGTCTGAGCAGTTATTTATATTGGTGTGGATTTAGTTATTGTCCATGGGATTCCATTGTTTCTAAAGGAGCACAAAGAGGAAAGAGAAAAGGTAATGGGGAGGGACAGGGGACAAAGAAGGTGCTGGTGGAGCCCATTCTTGTCTCGCACAGATCATTAATGACCTGGCAGTAAATGTGCTTTAATGAGACTCAGAGCACACTTGTGGGGAACTAAGCGCCTGTAAGAAGCGGGCTCATTATATACAAGCAGGATCAGGAGATTAGTTCACTTGCCCAGGAAATAACATTGATGGCTTACAAGTTAATGTGCTGAAGGGAAATAGATCAGAAAACACAAATATTTAATGTGAAAAAGAAAAATGGGATGTCAATAAGACCCGAGAGGACCTATGGGTGATAAAAAATAGTAAATCATAGGCATTTGCAATGTAAATTGAGAAGTCAAACATCCAGAACGACTGGGAGGCGGGAACCCGAGGCACTTCTGGGGATGGAGTTGTGGTGATTCCCTTCCAACATGAACAGAGTTGGTCTCAGAATAAAGCAGCACAGGGCAGCTATAAGGAGCTCCGTAGGGATGAGCAGACAAGGCTGGGGGAGCAGAGGTGCTATTCCCTCAAAGCAAGGGAGGAATCACAGAGCTAAGACCTGGCCCAGCAAATGGCACTGGCATTGACCTGGCTCAAGCCTCTAATCCCAGCGCTGCGCTTACTCATACCCTTCAGATTTTGATACCTGTGGCATCTCTACCTCACACTTGCACACAGTGCCATCAGCACCCAGTCAATATTTCTTCCTCCCCTTGTTTCCAGGATCCATCCTTTCCCCCAAATCGTGCACCATCTCAGTTGGGGCAGTACAGGGAGTCCACCAAGCCCTCTCACAACCGTAAGTGTGGTAGGCTTCAGATCATCTACCCTTAGACACTGCTCCCTTCCCCAAGAGGACCAGTCCAGAGCATCCTGGCAGGTGCCTACCTTGTGCCACCATGGCCGGTGTACTGAAGGCTACATTTGTTGATGTGACACACACATGCCCAGAGTGATATCCCCTCCTTCCATACCCCTGCCCTCGAGGACCCCAGCAGCTGCCCCAGGTCAGCAGCACAGGAACTGGGCAGCCCCAGAATAAGCTCCAGCCTTCTTGAACCACCTTTTTTCCTCCTTGGCTGCTGGGCTATTCCTGGGAGTGAGGAGGAAAGTTGTGCTAGGGGAAGATGGAAAAATCTTTCCAATCTTTCTGCCACATGACCACATTCAAATCCTATTACCACCCCATCTCCAAGTTAGTGTCCTCCCACTGTCTCTTGGCACTGAAAAGACTAAGAAGGAACCAAAGGAGCAACACTCATTTTAAAGGGGATAGAAGTGGCCAATCGAACTCAATTTGTGTTTCAACTAGAAAGAATCAGATCTGAAAATGTGCCTAAAGCTTATTGTCATCTATCAAATGATCAGGAGAAAATTATCTAATACTCTGGCTAAGCTTTATGAGCTAAAACAACTAGGAAACTAGCTATTCATTAGAAAGTTACCAGGCTAATGTGAAAGCAAACATCCAGAATGTTTACTTGTCTTATAGTTTTGCCTCTTACCTCTATATTTGCCTACACTGTTAAAATTACACAAATTGAATGCTCACTGGTGACAGATCCTCATACACCTCCCTGTGTGAAAACCTCAGTAGTTACCTCTGCACTGGCTTCCTCCATCCTACATTTCACCCCCTCTGGTTGAATGGCCATGGTCTTCCAATAGGGCCTGAGGTGACTCTAGAGAAAGCAAAGTCACCCCTTTGTGACATAGCTGCATAGAAACAATCCAATTAAAAGGATCCTGCCAATGAAACGGCTGCTTGTAGGAGGAGACCTGAGAACCCCAAGCCTTCCAGGACTTCAACAATTCATCGGCCTCAAAACAAACAGAAAACAAAAATGACTACAACTACAAATGTCCATCTCTCTTATATTCTGTCTTTGGTGTATGGCAGAGCTGCATTCTCTTGACAACCCCAAAGGCTCTTGTACTAACTTTTCTCCTCATGGATCCATTCTTATACATTTGACTTGAGCCCCCAATTCTAATCCTTGCTCCTCAGAAATCCGGGGTGGTCACCAACAGCATGCAGCAAGAGACCTCATTTAAGAAGGTTCTTTCAGAGTATGACAGAAAATAGAAAGTACTGAGTTGGTGGGTCTCACCAGCTCAACTAACCTAAACCCTGCATTCAAGGCAAGAAGCACTCAGCTCAGCGGGGCCAGGTAGCCTCCACCAGGTGCACAGCCGGGCGGGGGGAGGGGTCAACCTCAACTGGAATGTAAGAGCCTGACTTCTTCCCTTTTGCCAGAAACATTTCACTAGATTTTTGAAGGAAGAAAGTTACTCTGGCTAAAACGAATGAGTTACATTCTTCTATGATTATCCCTACCTGAGGTAGAACCACATTGATTGGAATTTCTAAGCTTTCAGATCTGGTATCTCCTTTTCTTGTAATATTTGGCCTTGAATGCTGTGGAAGAGAAAAAAAAAATTCCGCTTACCAACTCATCCTCTGCACCTCAACTACTCACTGGAGTACATGACAACTTTCTGCTGATTCATTCCCTTGTCAGTTATATACATTATGAAATCTGAGTCTGAAGGAATGTGTAGATGGTATCTGATAAGATGTTTTATTGATCTCTGAGCAGAAGTTAGCAAAGGAATTATAGTTGACTTAGAAGCCTTTTGGACATCTTTGAAGCAGAAATAGCTACTTTTACTTCCTTGTCTAAGACTATTATTTGTATCCCAAACAAAAAGCCATACCAATGTGAGATGCCAGGTATAGGTCCTGTGCAGAAGTTGGTCACCAAAACACTCAGAACATTCCAGAGGTGACATCATAAAACAATAGGGTGTTTTTCAGTGCTCATGGTTTCTCGCTGAGCATCTACAGGTGAGAATGAAGCATCTGACAGGCAGGGAAGGTTTGCATTAGCTATGATCACAGAGCCAGTAGGGTCACTGTGACACATAATGGCCCAGACACTATTCACTGCTTGGTCATCCCGGGCATCACTCACATCCTCACTGCCATCCTCACTCCTGTCCTTCCTCCAGAACACAAGTGGTATCTTCTCCATGGAGTTGGATCACTTAAGAAGAAATACCCTGTAGTCCTGGCACTCTGGGAGACTGAGTCAGGTTTACACGCTGAAGCAACTTAGTGGCTTAGCAAGATCCTGACTCAAAGTAAAACATTTTTTTAAAATAACTGGGGAGAGAGCTCAGGGTAAAAGCCCTGGATTCAATCCCTAGCACTTCAACAAAGGAGGGAGGGAAGATACAAACCAAATTCTGCCCAGATCCGGGGAGGAAATGCCATGTAAGGTGTGTCCTACAGCTCAATTCCACCTGATACTACCTACCTGGAGTTAGCATCAGATCCCAGAAGTTGGGGGCTCAGCCCCACAGGACTTCCTTGGCTTCAGATACCAATCAGAGGCCTGGCTTCCTGTACTTCTAACTGACCAGCTATAAACCAGAGGTTCCTATGATCCCCTCTTTGAGTTAAATAATTTGCTAGAATGGCCCAGGGAACTCACTAAAACACTTGTGGCTCAATTTTATTATGAAGAGATAACTCAGTAAAAGCCAAGTGGAAGCATAGGGTAAGGTATGGGAGGGTGGCACGGAGCTTCCATGCCTCCTCTGGGCACACCATTTCTAGTTGCTCACCAACCCAAAGCTCTCTGAATCCAGTTTAAGGGGTTTTTATGGAGATCTCACTACACAGGCATAGTTAATTAAATCCTTGGCCATTGATAAATTAGCTCAATCTCAAACCCTTCACCATTTCACGGATTAGGGGCTGAAAATTCCAGCTCTCTGATCTCCTGGTTGATTCCTATGGCAACTATTCCTGGCCCCCTCCCATAGTCACCTCATTAGCATAAATTAACGGTGTATTACAAAAGCTCTGTAAAATACTTATGATCAGGTAATCCTAAGAGTTTTAGGAATTCTCTGTACCAGAAACCAGGTCAAAGGCCAAATACATATACTTTTTATTATACTACATGTAGAAACTACATTAAGACCACAAGGCCTACTCCCTTTGATCTCAATTCTACCAAATGAGCTATCTTTTCTATCTTTGGAGCTATCAGTGGCAGTCCTCTTGTGTATCACAGGTTTCTTGTAACTCCAAAAGCTCCAATTCTGCATTATAATGTTTCTGGAATTAGGAAGGAAGTGGTGGATCCAGGTCATCAGATACAGAAACACTGAAATGAAACTGCCCACTTGATTCTTCTATACTCATGTTACAAGCAAGTCTTGCTTTATGAAAATTTAACCCAGGAACAGGGGCACATGATTGTAATCTCAGCACTCCTGGAAGCTGAGGTAGGAGGATCAAAAATTTGAGTCCAGATGGGGCAACTTAATGACTTAGCAAGACCCTCCCTCAAAATGAAAAATGAAAGGGATTTTTATGTAAAGATGTAGCTCAGTGCAAAATTGGGTTCAATTGCCAATACTAATGTAGAAAGAAAGAGAGAGAGAGAGGAGGAGGGAGGGAGGTGGGGAGGGAGGGAAGGAAGGAAGGAAGGAAGGAAGGAAGGAAGGAAGAGAAAGAAAGAAAGAAAGAAAGAAAGAAAGAAAGAAAGATAGAAAAAGAAAGGAGAAAAGAGAATTCATTATGCAAAAGTTCAAATATTACCTATAGGAAAAGCAAGAAGGTGATTAATTACATTATCAAAGAATTTTCATTTAACAAAGGAAGTTTTTCAAGGGTATTTGTTGTAATTTTAAAATTGTGGTTACAGATGTGTAACATTAAACTTACCATCTTAACTATTTTTAACATGTAGTTCAATAGTACTGAGTATACTCACCTCATTGTGCAGTAAATCTCCAGAATTTTCTCATCTTGCAAAACTATAACTCCAGTTAAGCACTATTTCCTCTTCTTTCTTTCCCACAGTCCCTAGTAAACACCTTTCTATTTTCTGTTTCTATGATTTTGACCACATTACATACCTCAAATAAGTAGAATTATACAGCACTTGTCTTTTTGTGTCTCTTATTTCACTTACATAATGGCTTCAGGATTCATCCACATTGGAGCTTGCCATAGGATTTCTTTCTTTTTAAAGGCTGAATATGTCATTATACATGTATCACCACAGTTTATTTATTCATTCTCCTCTCTATAAACATTTGGATTATTTCTATCTCTTGGCTATTGTGAATAAAGCCACAGTGAACATCTCTTTGAGATCCTGATTTGAATTTGAATGTACATCCAGAAGTGGGATTTCCAGATCACATAGTAGCTCAAATTTTAAGTTTTGAGAACTCTTCCTACTGCTTTCTGCAGCAGTTCACCGTTTGAGATTCCCACGACCAGGACAGTTCCACATTCTCCACTCCTCATCATTGCTGGTTCTCTGTTTCTCCGGATTCTTTAAGTGGTTAATTCCTATACTGTCTGAAAATGGAACTGTATTTTCCCCACATACACACCTAAAAGAAGCCTCTGCACATTTATTGGGAGACAATGAGAAGAGCTGCACAAAGCACCAGGGAAATGGTGGTGGTTGTAACCAAAAACCAAGGCCCGAAAGGGGCGAGTTATTGAAATTGTCTCACTCCCTTTGACTCAAGCCTTCAGCAGCTGGAACAAATTTGGTGCCTCTGGGGATGCAGTATCAGCTTATATGAGGGTTGTTTGTTTGCTTACTTGATAGATTGACTTTTTTTTTTATTTTTAAAGGGAGGAGTATTTTAACCTGGCCCACTCCGGTACCAGTATCTGCAGTTGCCCATTAACTAGGTTTCCTCCTCTTCAATAGGACGCACACATGCATATCGCAGCACTGAGAAGCTTCCTTGAGAGCTCACCCCAAATGCCCGTTATTACTCAGATTAACAACGTCATCAGTCATCCACGTTCTGTGAGCATCCGCGACTGGCAGGCACTACACAGAGCCCAGAGGCAGACATGCTTCGTGGGTTTCTAATCTGAACAGACAGGTAGAGCAGAGACAAAGGAAAAGGTAAGCATGTATCTGAGACTCTCCAGGCTTGCCTTGCCTGCACTTGTCTGATGATGTATATGTGGGGAAAATCAACCAACAAGAGGTCCATCAGAGCCCAGGACTCCCTGCCCATCCTGAGTCACATACACAGCTCTTGGTCCAGGAATCAGAAGGGTTATGAGGTTATATTCTGACTCCCTCACCCTCTCATTTGTGGAGAAGGGATAGGAAAATGGGTGTGAATGCTAAGTTACTACGATGTCTGTCATTCCAAATTGCATGACATGATTATGAACTTTGGCATTTTTGCCATTTAGGGCAAAGGGTAGCTGTACTGTGGCACCATCCAAATACATTAAGATTTTGGGCCAAGCTGCCCTTGGGACAGACCAATAGCTGCCACTTGCTAAGGAAGCAGAGGGAATAGCCAAAAAGTGCAAGAAAGAGTTCTGATAAGTCTACCAGGCAACAAATAAAGACCAACTATTGGGGCAGTCTGAGAGTGGAAGGAAGTAGAGAAACTGAATGGCAGCTATGAGAGGCACCTTGCTGAGGTGAATAGTTGTTATAAGATAGAAAAATCATTCACATTTCAGGAATGTTGAAGGAAGGCCTGGAGGTGAAAGCACTCTGCTGCAAAGCTGTTGGCACTCCCACATTCCAGAGATAATTCTGAGAGTATATCCCTCTTGATGAAGCCAGAAAAGAGGCCATGTGCAGGAGCTGGATGAGTAACATCCGAAACCGGGGGCCTCGAGAGCTGTTTGCAATCCTTAAAACTTTCCTTCTAAATTCAGGAGCTACTAGATATCCTTCCAACGTTCTTTTTCCTAATATTAGTTAATTTGTTCACTTGATCTAAGAAAGAAGCTCTAACAAAAGACATCCAATGGAAAAGACATTCAGTAGGAGAAGTTTCTTTAGTTTGAAAAGTGTCAAGAGGCAGCCAGGAAGCTCTCTGAATGCTCTCTGCGATGATAATTGGCCTTGCAATCAAGGGAACGTCTGAGGCCATGGGAGTAGACCAGACACTTCCAAACAAAGAAGCAAGTGAGTCTTCATTTCAATTTTAACCCATACAGATTAATGGAGGGTCTTGTTAGGACAACTCTAATCATGATTTATGCAATTCTATACATTTCCATTTAACTAAATGAAAAATCATCAGGTTAGTCAAGTGCATAATCCCCTAAATTAATTGTCCATTAGTTTTTCTCTAATAATAAGGGGATGCTTACTGTCTTAGTCACTTTCTCATTGCAAGGACAAAAGACCTAAAACCACAATTTAAAGCAGGAGAGGTTTGTTTTGGTTCACAGTTTCAGAAGTCTCACTCTGCAAGATTGGCTGGCTTCAGGACAAAAAAGGTGTGGTGGTAGAGCCTGGGAGGAAAGCTGCTCACAGAGTGGTGAGGAAGCAGAGAAAGTGAAGAAGCAGGAGGGGGAGATACGCCCTTTCAAGTCACACCCCCGTAACCCACTTCTTCCAACAGGACCCCACCGCCTAACAGCACTTTCAGCTAAGAATTCATCAGTGGAAAAGTCCAGTAGTGATTATAGTGCCGTAATCACCTCCCAAAAGTCCCACATCTGAACACATGAGACACTGAGGGTTGCATTTTAGATTTAAACTACAATATTCCACCCTGGCCCTCAACAGACTCATGTCCATCTCTTATGTAAAATACCTTTAGTCTACTGTGAAATGATAGGAAACTGCTCAAGAGTAAAGGGCAACTGGGATGTGGGAAAAGAGAAGGGAAAGGAGAAATTTTGTATGTATGTATATACAGGATAGTTAACATGGTTGTTCTTCTGTCTTCTATTTCTATGCTGAAAGAAACTGTCAATGAGTCTTTGGTTGATCAGTATTGCATTTCTATATCTGTTTTCATGAGAAGCCACTTTGAAGATATCAATATGTAATACAACAACCATTGTTAATTCCC